TCTCCTTTTGGTGTACGACATTTTCATCTACATTTTGATATTTTCTGTCTCAATCCAATTATCAAGACCCATACTTAATAGCCATAATCAATGCTAGTTGTTTATAACTCGTTATCTAACATTTTAAATTGTTTTATATCTTCATAAAACGGTTATAATTTTAAAACAATATCAGTTTATGTTATCGTTGTTACGCTGCTGATTTATAAAGATGACTTGCTTAACATCACCTATCAAAAAATTCATGAAGCCTTATTGATGCATTAGTTAGTTATTATTTCAAACCTCAAGCAAGTAAATTATGTAGACTCAATCTAAACATTCATTTTAGTCTGAAGGCCATAATATTCAGCATTTATTTAAATATAATTGGTGAGCCATAATCTTATCAGTGATCTGAATTCGAGTTAATAATAATTTTGATAGTAGAGCAGGCACCGTCTTTAGAATGATAAGCATTATTTTTTGTGGTGAAGCAAATTTAAACACACTAAAGCTGCTGCATTTTAGTTGATATCTCCTATTTATACTGCATATGTTTACCATTTAAGTAATGTCGAGAACTCTGTACAACGTCTTCAAGTCTGATAGCTACCACAACTGCCTGTACAGTTTCATTGTTGTTACATCACAGGTTTAAAGAGGGGTTCATTTATTTTAGGTTTGTTAAGAGACAACATGATTAAACAATATGAATCAGGTCTGATAGGTACAGAATGTATACTGCATGATTTAAAAAAGATATGATGATAAGAATGTATCACATATATTTGGATTAGAAATAAAAAATATAGCCATAATTTTAAAAATATTAGTTTCACTGAATTACTATTTAAATATTCAGTGTTACATATTAATTTGTTTAGAAAGTAGACAAGATCATAGCAAAGATATTTGAGATTTATTTAATTTATAAATAATAAGTTGTTGCGTAGTATTTGAGTTTATTTGATTCTTAAAGATCCTTTTGAAATTAAATGTTTTAGCAGAGGAATTATTAAAAAATATGAGTTTAATTTAGCTTTTTGGACAGCAGGAAATTGCTGCCAGTTAAATATTATTGGTTTATAACTTACTCTCTCTCTCAAAGATCAAGATTTTACAGTGTGTTCTATCTTAGTTAAGCGGGTTGAAAGTAACAATTCCTCTTCCAGCAGCTAAAATCCTATTAAAGGTATTTCCTCATAAAGGACGATAAATGGATTTGTAAATCTAATTTGCATAAGCAATCGGATACAATTAGAATAGGAATATATGGATCATAATGATTATTTGGGGTAACTCTATTTATTGGGCAGTTACAATCTCCTGTAGGAGACCTAAATTTAAAGTCCAAAATTTTTCATACTAACCAAAAGAGACTAGTCGCTTTAAATAAAATCAGTATTATGGTGTTTGTACAAAGCAAGATAATATGAACTTAAAAGTGCTTGTGGAAGATAATCCTTATTTATCAAGTTTTAAGTATCAGGGCATTTTCAGAAAACTTAGCATCAGTTGTGATAAAGCTAGATTACCTATTTCTTGAGTTAAGAAGTAGATTAAATCATTCACAGAATTATATAAAATTGGCTAATTTATTAACTAATCTTCCATTTAAAAAAATTTATTTTACTTGTTGCCTTAATAAATAATAAGCCGAAATTGTTTATTAACATTAAAATTATTATTGTCCAGCACTCAAGCTTACTTAGCAAAGCAAATTTGGAGAACGTTTGAAAAAAGACCCTTAAAAATCTTTGAGTAACAAATATCCATCCAGAATATTATTATTAATGTAGGGGAATTCTAATATTGGCACTGAAATAGAATGTAATTTTGAAAAATAATAAGAATCTTCTGCTTCTTATAAGATGATATTACTATTTGTTGTCATAATAAGTACAATGAAACAGAATGCAAGGCTTTCAAGCAAAAAGTACATTTATAAATTACAAGTTCATAATTAACTTAAAATTAATATTTGAAGCCAAATTTATATGAAATTACAAAATCAAATTGAAGAAATAATTCAGAATCAAGAATTCGTCTTTCATTGCTTGCAAAATCAAATAAAATATTAACAGCGAAAGTTAGTTTTTGGTTTAAAATAAATTAAATAAAAAAAAGATCCTTATCATGGATCCTCAATCTCCAATCTTAAATTTGTGAATGATTTATAGGTTTAATATGTTAATTTTCAATATAATTGAGTACTCGATTTGAAATTAATTTGATAACATTAAGCAAGCCTAGGGATTTGTAAAAAGATTCTTTGGGAGAGAAAAGTTTCATCGAAAATTGTTTTATTTTTTTATTCTCTCAACCAAGTACTGTTAATCAACTAAATTCGCGAAGTAATGATTGCAATCGATGAGCATAAATATTTCCCGTTTCTCTTAAATGGTAAAAGTCGTAAATTATAAGATTCCTTTATACATAATCATGTCTTAAATATTGTAAAGAATATAATAGATTATAAGTGAAATATATTAAATTAATAATCACAAATTGAGCAGGCTGATTATCAGCATGTAATTTACAACTAGAATTCATTTAAATATAAAAATTGTTAGTAAGGATATTGAGAAAGGAAAGTATATTACAACTTTTTTGAATTAATAACTCAAAAATAAAAACTAACTAAAAAACAAATATCTTAATTCTGTCTAGGATGGAAAAGCATAGAAATCTAACTCAAATGGTTTATATGAAATATAGAAAATTTAAGTATGCTTTAAAGATGCTTGTTAATCATCCTTTTAAGAAAACTCCCCTTATTAATAAGGGGAGTAATAGTAGATCAATATATTTCATAACTCTTCTTAAACAAAAAATCTAACTGCAATATTAAGATTATTGTAGTTTTTGAATAATTTCAAAAAAATGATCAAACTATTACAATTAGAATTTAAATCTAAACCTTCTCGAAAATAATCTAAAAGGAAAAATTAGCCAAAGAACTATCAAAGCGATTGGAACTGTGCTGAGGAAATTTATTTACTTAAATATATTTTGGTACTAAAGGTATCAAATTCATTTTGGAAAAACTTCATTAATAGTATGATTTACAATATTAAAATATCATTAAAAGAACTTCATCTAGTCTTATCGGTTTAACTAGAACATTCTGATAAAAGTACTTTTAATACTTGATGTCCTTTCAATTTTATTTCATAGTTAAAATAAAAATAAAATTCTAGAATAAACAAATATAATCATTAAATTTATAATATCAAGAAGTAGAGAAAATCAGCATTATAGTAAAATTTAGGAAACCTGAAACACTATTATTTATTTTGAACATTTTATCTCATATTTACACTTTTCTGTGGTATATTGCAGTTGCTTAAGAATTCTTCCCTTGAACTAAAATTAAATTCTTAATCTTAAGAAATCGGACAAAATTAATGGTAAGGAAAATTTAAAACTTAATTGTATATTAAAGATAATTCTATCAAATCTTCATTAAAGTTATAAATCATGAATCATTAAATTTAATTTAAAAATACTTGAAATCATCTTGTAGAATAAAGTGATATTGTTAATTCAACATTTAAATTCATTCTCTATCCTGCATTGTTTGTGATGATAGTTACACTCTCGTATTGATAAGCAATAATTTTGGATCATATTCTCCATTATCCTTAATTCTTTGGGTTAAAATTAAACATAAGTCATGTCGAATTTCTATGCTCAACAATTAAGCTTACCTCTTAGTGTATGAATTATTCTAAATATTAAATTTTAAAACTAAAATAATTTTGTTGTGTATGAAGAACCAAAAGAGAAGCAAATTAAACCTCACTTTGTTTTTTTGGAGTGTTCGAATAGCATTATCTTCCAAATGATTATTGCGAATACATAATCATTATATTAAATAATCTAACTAAATTTATTATTTAGAATTTGAACACTTTCGAAATATTGATCTCAATAAGTTTATGAGAATCAATAATGTGGAGAAGAATCAAGTAAATAATTCAAATTTCATATTAAGAAAGCCATTCTTATAAAAAAATCAAGAAGCAATTCTTTTTCTAATCAACCATGATTTGAATTTGGTGAGATCTTTATATCAAGATTTTATTCCTTAACTATTTTAAGCTATCATATTGGTTCATCTCTTCTTTGTTAGATAACTTTTCCAATTTATTAAATTCATAATTCTAATCTATTCAACCTCCATGTTTTATAGATTAAGTCTAGTAAAAATCAAAGAAATTTAATATTTGTTTTTTTACTATATTTTAATATAATGATCAAAAAATAAAATAAATAATTCTTTTAATATATAAATATCAAGATAATTTTCATATTAAACTCTCATTTGTTTTAGTCTGTTATGGCTTCGTTAATTAGATCAAGTTTCAAATCTGTTAGAGCCAAGAATTCAAACTCTTTTCCGTTCATTCCTGTGCACATATATGTGTAAAATTAAGAAGACCTTTAATAAATCTCACCATTCTCAAAAATGTCATGCTCATCAGACTCCGGATACTCCAATTACTAATTTTATTTCTCTAACTACTCTTACACTTTCTCCATCATTTACTTCTACTTCTCAAGAAGTTTCTTTTGTTTTTGCCAATTCTTATGCTACTTACATCTTCTGCTAGATGTGGGCCTATGTGTTTTATAATTTTTAGTTAGTTTCTTTTTTAGATTTGATTGTTATGCAATATTTTACATATCAATATTAATAAAGTTTAAGATTAGATTTCAAGAATTTAAAGCGTAAATATTCTATTTATAATTCTTTACTTTTTTCAGTCCTAAATCTATGAAATATTTTCACCTTCAATACTAATATTTCAAAGCTAAAGAGCAAAGTTGGGATAGATAATAGAAATTTTTTGGTGGTTATCTACCACTAACATAATCCTATTCATGATGGACTCAATCAATTACGTAAAATTCCTATGAGGAATTTAACATTCTTTGATATCTAAATTAAATGTTTTAAGATTTCAAAGAATATTGAAGAATTCGAGAACGGTTTATCTCATTATTTATTTACATAATTTATGCTTATTTCTAATTAATCTTTTATTTTATAATTGTGGTATATATTTAATTTAATGAAGGAATAGAATTTGTTTAATTTGTTAAGTAACTGCACATTGGACAGAGATATCCAATAGTATATTTAAATTTTGGCTTTTAAGGTTCCAGATCTTAATTCGGCCTGTAATTTTGATCCTATGAAACATTCTAATTGAAAGAAAGATTTAAAAGGATCCTAATTAGTTACAAGTTTTATTAGATTCTTTAAAAAAATCAAAAGGAAATATGAAGAAGGGAAATCAGATGATGATAGAGGGAAGACTCCAGGAAATCTTTGTCCATGCCAAAGTTGTGATAACATGCAATCCTTGCAAAAGTATTTAAGGAGAAAAGTAGAACATAAATTTAACTGTAATGATTAACTATAGAAATTTTTTGTATATCAATAAATGATTTATTTTCAATCTACAAATTTGAATCATATTATGTATTTAAATTATATTAAATCGGCTGCTTCCAGAATTCAACCAGAATATTGGAGTTCCTATTTTGATTAGTTCGTAGATCATAATAATCAATTATATTCATTATGCTTAAATTAAGAGTAAAATAAATTGATTTTGTTCAAACTATTCACAAATATTGGTAATAGATAGGAAAGGTTGAATAATAAATGGAGTGGTAATTAAAGATAAAGTAGATTAATTTGGAATAAGATTATGCTTTATTAATGATAATTATTTTAAATTCTCAGCTTTTTGTCAAGAATAAATCAAATATCATATATATGAATTTGACAAGAATTCGAAATTCTATAGGAAGATGAAAGAAGATCGTGTGTTATGTCGTTCAAATGAAGATAGTTGTTTTTTCAATAATAATATTTATACCTCCTGATAAGTAAGAATGGCAAGAACATTAATTACAAATAAAAGGAAAGTCGTGACTTTATTATATAATTATCTATTGAATTTAGTGCTTATGGTATTTTTGTTTAATTGAGTGATGGCAGGTAATATTTGATCAAATGGGATTGATTTTTAAATACTAGGATATATAAAAATTGTCTTTACAAAATTTTATTTTTTTACAACTAAAAAAATTCTTATATTGCATAACTGCTTAGTTGCCTCATAATCTGACGTAAACAATTACAATAAATCTATTTATCATCACTTACTATATAATTGAATTTAATGAAATTAATAACCAATTAAAATAACCTATTCTGAAGATTCTTTCACCATTTATTTCTTGTGACTATTGCAAATATCAATCCGTACTCTTCATGTCCTTCTCTGTTGATCATACTGCCGCGCAAAATAAATGGTCTAGTTTCTTTCTTAGACCTCTCAAGTCACTTATGAGCAGTTTTATCAATTAATACAGCTCATATCCTCCAATATTCTAAGCATTAAGATGGTAGGGAATATATTTTGTATTACTTTGAAATTTGACTATAATAATAATAATTACATCTATTCTACTTCAAATACTACAATTCATTTCTTCAACTTCAAACGATTTTAAATATGTAGAATAAAGTTTTATAAATTTAGGGTTTATGATTCACAGCCAAAGATGATATTTTTGAATCTTGGTAAAATTATTTCCATATTATTAATCATTAATATGTGAATAGATAATAGACAACAATTTTAAACTTGTTATATAAATAATTAATAAGCTCAAATGGCAATAAGGCTATTGAATATTTATAAAGTCGAATCAAAGTTATAATTTGTAAATTACAATAGTGGACTAAAAAAGGATTGACGAAGGATTTCTTAATATACATTAGGAAATTCTTATGAAAATGTTAATTCTTGAGCTTGTAAGCGAATGATTTTACTTATTTTAAAAAATATTTTTAGTTTAAGAAATCTACCATTCATTTTTATTTTAATAATGTTTAAAGATTATTTAATTAAATCTATTTGAAGATAGAAAACAACAAATATAATATAAATAAATTCAAGTGATTGCAGAACAATATCATCTTTCGGCATTCAACAAAAACAATTGATTTAAAGCATTAAATTATTATATTTTAATTTTGTTATTTTGAAAAGGGGGTTCTTCAATTTAAATTGATGAATAATTCATTTAATTTGAAGTGATCTAAGATTGGTTGTAATGTATTCAGAAATTCTATTAAAAGATGTAATAACTAATATTATAGTTGAGTTA